TTACCTTGTCCTCTCCACACCATTAATGGGTTCTCACTCCAATGGCTAATGACTTTATGGAGGTCCTCAGGGCCTCCGTTCCTGACACCAGTTTTCTAGAACTAGAAATTAAAGAAGTGGGAGAGGGGGAAGAATGAGAATCTATGCCATTGGTGTGTCATGGTTTTTGGCCAACACTTTGTCACGTGTCATCTTGTGTGGTTCTTACAACAACACGGGCAGTATTATTACCATAAATATGCTCACGGGACCAGGGAAGAAACCGAGTCTCTGACTGAAGAAGCTCCTTGCCTGGCACCAGGTGGCTAGTGAGTGGCAGACAGGCCTCCCACCGGGCTCTCTGGTGTTGGGTCCCCGGGCCTCCCTCTTCCTCACGTGGCTTCTGTAGTGTGGGAAACACCTGGGCTGCTTTCATTTCATTTGTTTGTTCCAAGAGAACCAGAATGCTCTTTCAAGCATCTTTTCCCCCACACTGAGGGCCAACCCCCAAGTAACTCTAAGACATTGAAGAGAGAGAGGGAGACAGAGAAGTGCTAGAGAGCCCTGGAATGTATGTGGGTATATGACAAAGACCTATTTAAATGCATTTAATTGGCAACTATTTGTCTGGGTCCCAACGTGTGCCCACCATGGGACAAACAAGTCACCAAAGTGGGCTCCCTATTGCCCTCAGCCGCCTCAGTGAGTCCTGAGGGGCAGACCCTGGTGATTACGTGTCTGTCAGAGGACCAAGTCATGCCTGAGCTCTGCCAGGGTTCAGCTGGCCCTGGAGGCACCCCTTGTCCCTTGTCCCTGGCCCTGGAGGCACCCCTTGTCCCTCTGCCAGGGTTCAGCTGGCCCTGGGGGAGATGGGCAGGCAGGCTGGGGAGCCATCTGCTAAGTGGTTAAGGTGCTGCCCGAGCTCCGAGGAGGGCTCTCATGAATCTACCAGTGGAGAAGGGGCAGAGGACGGGATCAGTGTTGGGGGGGCGTTGTGTCCCTGAGGAGGCGACATTTGAGCTGCCCTGAGAAGGATAAGAGAGAGTCACCAGGGGGGTGGAGGGCACTCCTGGCAAGGGAAGAGTGTGAGCCAAGCTCGAAGGCTTGGGAGTCCATAGCACAGAGGATGGTATGGGTATGAAAGCGTGTGTGTGTGTGTGTGTGTGTGTGTGTGTGTGTGTGTGTGTGTGGTGAGAGAGAGAGAGAGAGACAGACAGAGACAGAGACAGAGACAGAGAGAGGGAGGCTTCTATTTGTGTCCACGGGTCTTTCCTTGGCCTCTGGCTCCAGGGCCACCCTCCCCAGAGCTGTTGGCCCAGCCCTGAACCCTTTGGGCCTCTTCCCGCTCCCCTCTGGGCTCAGGGCGCCTGCACTTCAGCCCTACAAGTCCGTCCCTGTTCCCGCAGCAGCTCCCCGCCTGGCCTTTGTTCTTCCGAAGCCTGCCCTAAGCCTGGCCTCCAGGACACTTGATCTCATCCCAGGGCTGGCGGTGGCGCGCAGCCCTTGGAGCCCCTGCAAGGAGGGCGTTGACTCCAGATGGAAAGTGTTTCGAGAATTCTGACGTGACACCACACCATCACGACTTGCGTGGACAGTAACTGATCTGGGAGGGGCCAGGTGAAGCTGCTCCAGCCGCGCCTCTTGTCAAGGGCTGGCTCAGATCAAGGAGCTCGGCGTGGGCGGGGGGTGGGGGTGGGGGGGATGGTGGTGTCATCTAGAACCAAGGGGTGGCACAGGGAGAGGCCTTGGGTGTGCAGGCCACTGCTGAGAGCAGCCTGGAGGCACGCGGACGCCCTGCATCCATCTCCTGTGACTTGCCACTGGCGGTGGGCAAGGCCCGGCTGGGCGTCTCTGGGCTCCCCTACCCCACCCTGGGGCCCAGACTGTCTCTCCTCCCACAGGCCAGGCCTCCCCCACCCCCAGAGGACCGCCAGAGGGCTGCCCGAGGTGTCTTGCAGCTCAGCCCTCCTGCCCCGCTAGGCCGTGCTCAGCCAGGTGAAGAGCTGGGGCTGCCCCAGCCGCACGCGGGAGGAGGCGAGGAGCGCGCCCTGCCACAGCTGACGTCCGCACCCTGGGCCCAGACCCAGGACTTGTCTTCAAGGCACCATCTGGTGCCTGCCAGGGCTGAGCAGGGACAGAAGGCTGGCACTGAGGCTCAGGGGACAGAGCTGGGAGGGGAAGTCACAGGGGCCCGCACGGCAGGTTTTGAGGGCCCCCTGCTGAGAGCGCACCTCATTGCCCCTTCTGCCACCATCACCCACTTGTGCGAAGTTAGAAGCTGGGGCTGAGGGATAAAGGAGCTGGAAGTGGTTAGCCCCCGTCTCGGGCCGGCTTCCGCGTCCCTGACATCTAAGAGCATTCCCTTCTGGGGAAGCCAGAGGGCACAGCCAGATGGTCTCCAGCCCAGGCAGGCGTCCAGTTCCAGGCATCACAGCGGCCGCCGTGGAATGATGGGACAGAAGCTGGCACTGGGCATCAGGCCATGGATGGGCTGCCTGGGGTTGGCGCCCTGACTGGCTCTCTGCTCCTCCCAGGGGGCAGGCCATCCTCAGAGCATAGAGCCGGACAGGGTGGGAGGCTCCCCTGGGTGAGAACAAGCGCCTCCACCCCCTTACCCCCACTGGGCAGGGCCCTCAGGACAGGGGCAGGTCACAGGGACTGGGGAGAGGAGGGCCGCCTGCGCCGGCCGCTTTGGAAGGGGCCAGTGGGTTGGAGAGAAGACAGAAGGGGAAGGGGAGGGGATTTGAAGATCAGGAAGGAAAGTGAGAGAGAAAAATGTGAGAGGGGAGAGGAGGAAAGAGAGGAGAGGTGAAAGGAAGGGTTGGTTGGGCTCCAGGTATCAGAGACCTCAAAATAACAGTGGCTCAAACAAGATGACAGTCTCTCTCATGTAAAGCTGTAGGTGATGGTCCCGGGCGAGGGCCAGAACCCAGGCTCCTTCTCCTTCTACCATTTCCCAAAATACAAGCTGTGGTGTGGAGGGAAGTGGTGGGCGAAGGGCACAGCCCTCACTTTTGGACCCGAATGGGAGTTGCACACATGGCTTCCTCCGTCGTGTCACTGATCAGAATGGAGTCCCTGGGCTGCCTCTAGCTGCAAGAGGCGCTGAGGAAGGTAGGCTTCATTCTGAGCATCCTATGCATCCAGAGCAAAAAGCTCCATGAGAAAGGAGACAGGGGGTAATGGGGCAGAGGGAAATAAAGAGGAAGAGAAGCTCGCAGAGGGAGGAGGGAGGGAACAAGAAGGAAGGAAAGACTCTTGGGAGCAACTTGTACTATGGCCAGACCCGACCTCCCAGCACACCTGGACCCACCCCCAGGGCTTTGTCATAGGCAGGCTCTGTGAGGCTGGGAGCTCTTCCCCAGAGATGGATTAACCTGCCACCTGGACCCAGACCTGACGTGGGTTGAGGATGCCTTGGCCACAGTCTCTGGAGAGGGGTCTGCCTCTCACAAAAGGAAACAAGATGAAGTGCAGGGTTTTACTTTCCTACTTAGCCAAGAAGAGGTTCCAGAGTGCACTTTGGTCATGAAGAAGGATGTGATGTCATACCGAGTAATATTCTTTCAGGATGTTAAGGAAGGAACTTGACCAGTTTTCTTCAAGATACATGAAAGTGCATAAACCTGGAATCATTTCACATATCAATCAGACCCCTCTGGGCCACAAGTAACAGAAAACCCAAACAAAATATTTGATAAGAACGTTTATTATCTCTCAAAACAAGAGGTCCAGAGGAGGGCTCTTCTGGGATTGATTAAGTCAACAGCTCCATGGTGTCTGGGCTCTGGTTCCATTTCCTGGAAATTCTCACAGTTCTTCCTTTTGGTTATAACATGGTAGCTAGACCCCCAAGCATATTCTTCTAAATCTGCTTTCCAAGGAAGGAAGTATTCTCCTCACCAGAGCCATCTTATCTATGAGGGAATCCTTTCCCAGAACCTCTTCATCAGAATTGTTTGGAATCAGAGTCTTTTCTTGGCTAGACTAGGTTACATCTCTATCCTTCAACCAACCATTGGCAAGGGTGAATAGGGTCACTCCTTCCCATGGGATGGCTGGTTTTGGCCAATCATGAGTCCTCGTCTGGGGCCCACTTTCTCTGAGCACGTTGCAGCTGGATCCTGAACAAATACAAGTTCTGTTATCAGAAAAATAGGGAGCCATGGCTGCTGGTTAGGCTCAGGGCAGATGTTAATAATCAGTGTTCTTTTACTTAGACGGTCATTACCAATCAAACAAAGTTGGCAAGGAGATAAAGCCTGTGTGTCATCTCAGCCTTAGGTAATGGAAAGTAAGGAAGCCATAATTCAGGGCATCTTTAGTGACCTAGTCATCTTGTCATTGCTTCCTGTGAGGTCTTTAAATACATCTAAAAATACTTCTACAGTCCACCCCTCAAAGGGGGCAGGTAATTCCTTCCTTTTGAGTGTGGTCTTGATCTAGTAATTCATTTCCCGTGAACAGAAAATGGCAGAAGTGATGGTGTGTGGATTTTGAGTGGTGTTATAAAAGGCAGCGTAGCTATTGCCTTGCTCTCTCTCGGATCACTTGTGCTGGGGAAGGCCAGCCACCATCCCGTGAGGACGCTCCTGCAGCCCTATGGAGAAGTCCCTGTGGGAAGGAACTGAGAGCTTCTGCCAACAGCCATGTGAGGAAGTCATTTCGGATGTGGATCTTCTGGCCCCACTCAAGTCTTCATATGACTGAAGTCCCTGTCAACATCTTGATCGCGATCTGAGGAACCACCCCCAAGCCAGAACCCCCAGCTAAGCCACTTTCAAATTCCTGACTCACAGAAGCTATGGGATAATAAATGTTGATTGTTTGAGGCTACCAAGTTTTGGGGTGATCTGTTCTGCAGTTAGGGCTAGGAATAGGGTGACGCAAGTGAGGAACCTAGGGCACAAAATTTGAGGCCCAACCCTGAGAATGAGCCCCTCCTTAAATTTTGTGCCCCAGCTTCCTCACTCGCTTCCCACTCGTCCCGACCTTGCGTCTAGCACTACATGACCTTCCATGCCTCTTCCCATTTCCCAACATTCTCTAGCTTGCCCTTGGGGATCCTTGGGGTTCTGAAGAAGCTGGCTCCGTCTCTGGTTCCAAGGGTGGAGTGTGTGACTAAGCCTGTCGGCACATTCCAGTGCCCTTAGGTCTCCGTGACTAGATCAGCTGTGGCCTGTGACCCAGTCCTGTCTAATCAGAGGAGATATCAAGCCTTTTGCGAGGGATGCCGGGACAGATAGGATTCCACTCTTGTCATGGAACAAGGTAAGTGTAACTGTGCCAGAGGGCCTCTGGCAGCTTCTTTGGGACCTCTGAGGAGAGCCAGTTTGGGGATAAAGCTCCTAGCAGGATCCAAAAAGACTGGGTCCCCGGTGACATTGTTCAGCTGCTAGGTTAGTGCTTACCTGAAGCCAGCCTCATCTCTGGACTTTCTAGCCCGGTGAGCTAATAAATTCCTTTAAAAAAATTTAAACCAGTTTGAATCTGGTTTTCTGTTACAGGCAAAGGAAAGCACAAATGTGATGTTAAACACACAGAGGAGACCCCACATCAGTTACTCATACAGATGCTGCCAAGGATCCAGCTGTTCTGCACTGTGCCGAGTGAGTATCCAGATGTCCCGTGAAAGTGTTCTGGTTTCAGCCAGATGTCGAGTATCTTGTAGATGGAAGGTTAACATGATTTAATGCTAAAAAGCAAACTTCCTTCCCTGCCCCTTCTCTATCCCCCCGGTCTGGTGCCTGCCCACTCAGAGTCCCTTCCAGGTGGCCACGTCCCACCCGAGTCCTCAGGCAGATGTCCAATTTTGTAGCCTGTGATATACCCCCCAGTCCACTTGTCCCCTTCTTCCACAGCTACTTGGGCTGGGGATTGGTATCTAGCCCAGAGAGCCGGTCTAGAGGCTTGACAACCACCCACGTGTGGCCTGGCATGGAGGGATGAGCTGGGGCAATTGGTCTTTTTCTGTCTCTCGGATCTAAGACAGTCCTGAAGAAGGAAGGCGTTATAGGCAGAGCTGCGAAGCAGAGACGGGGCTGGGGGGAGAATAATCAGCAAGTGAAAGTTACATGGGAGCCGAAGAGAAGACCAGGTGAGGCTACAAGGGAAGAGCTACGCCGGAGTCCAGAGCAAGAATAAGCTGGTTGGGAGTGAGAAGAGGCAGGATGGATTCACAGACAGAACAGACTCCCTAAGCGAGGGAGAGCGTCACTGAGAAGGAGACAGAGCAATTAGTCAGGCTAGGCTAGACTCGGTTGTGGGAACAAACAGTCCCAGATGCCAGCAGCTGACCCAGCAAGAGTTTAATCTTGACCGCACACGACGTGTCCATCGAAGGTCCGCAAGGACGACGCTGCACGCCCGGGGGCCATGAGAACTCAGACCTACAGAAGTTCCACCTTGGCAGGTGCTTCCATGGTTGCAGAGGCATGGGAAGGAAATTCAGTCAACTGCCCATCAGCTATTAAGGCTTCTGCCCAGAGGTGACTCATGACCCTTCCGCTTACAATTTATGACCGTGCTTAATTTTAAAGGTGGGAGAGTCGTGCCATGCTACTGTGTGCGTGAAAAGACGAGAAACAGGAATGTTCTTGGCCAGCCTTGGTGAGGTCTAGAGAAAGGGCAGCTAGAGAGCCGCTTCCAACTCCAGAGGTCTGGATCTCACGAGGCCCTGCCATACCGTGGTCCGGATTTGTACTCACACAAGATCTTCATCACCCTTATTGCCCCATGCATGCCTTGCAACACCCACCACCCTCCACACACACATTTGCTTATTTCTTGTAACTTAAGACCTCACTCCAGGGACTTCATATTTCCTTTGAATGCTCCTTTCTCAACTGGGGACTCTGTCTCTCAAAAGCCTAAAGCCAGCACAAAACATCATTGTGTCTCTGTTTTATAACAAGGTGGGGATCTCCAGGCCTGCCTGCCTCAGGAATGTCAGAGAAGACTGCTGGAAACTCTATTTGCACACACCAACACTTAGTAGGTTCCCTGGCAGGTAGTAATACAAATCCATAAAGTTTTCTAGTACTGTTAGCTAAGCACTGTGCTAAGAGCTTCATCCGAATTCCTTCATTTAAAATACTTTCAACCTCACTTTGCCGGTGAAGAAACTGGCATAGAGAGGTAAGCAACTCCCTTGAGGTCTGATTTTTGTATCCGTGCTCCTCACATTCTAGGACACACCCAAGAGAGATGGTGAGGAGGGTTTTGGGGCTGATGGGCCAGGTCTGGGGGACTGAGATTGATCTTTGGGGAAGGAAGAAGGGTAGATGCTTCTCCAGGTGGGTAAAAAGCTTACCTCCAAGGAGGAGAGACAATCTGGGAGAAACACACTTAATGGGGCAGGGCGTGGTATCCTTCAGATGCCCTTTGGCCCAGATTCAAGTCCTTCTTGGAGAAGATTAAAGAAACTAAAAAAATAAATAAATAAAAAATAAGCCGTCTTTGAGCATATGTAGTGATCAGATTGTGGTCTCTAAACATCTTTCCTCACTCAAAGGAACCAAGGCTTCTTGGAGAATTAATTGGCTGTTTCCAGGTCTGGAGCAGGAAATATATAAGAGAAGCCCAGAACGTCTTGTACCAGAAGCCAAGAAAGCTATCAAACACTACTGGGGTCGTGTCAAAAGGACACAGGTGCCAACTTGAAGGAGAACCGACTAGACAGAAGGGGATCATTTGTGCATCAAAATCAAAACTAAACAAATAAACAAAAACCTTGCAATGTATTGCAACACATCCATTATTTTAAAAATCCATAAATTCAAAATGATAATAATAAAAAAAGACATTTGGAGGATTCTTACGGGAAACTAACTCACTATTCTGAGAACTGATAAATAAAGAGAAAGAAATTGTTTAAAAGCTAATTTTGGGGCCTCCCAAAAATAAAGTGAATTTGAGGCCTCGTTGGAAGGCTTCTCATGTACTCCCAAGACTCTCCCTCTGGCTTTCTCCTGGCCTGAATTTCCACCATTAGAGATCCATTTCTTTGGGTGAAGAACACCCTGAGCTGGCTCTCCAAAGTTCTCTCCAAAGTTGAGCTTCTCGGTAGCCCCATCAGATGGTATCCATTCCAGCAGGTGGAAAGAAGGGCGGAAATGTATATTTTATTGTACATCCCAGGTGATTTGGACCCAGGTGATTCTGTCCCCATTTTCCGGGAGACCTGGGCCAGGGCTCCTGGATCTTTCCTAGTAGCCTGTGTGACTTGCTGTTCCAGCAGTGCTGGACTGTCATAGCTGAGTGCTCCCAGCTTCTGCAAACTCTCGCAGGCCCCTCTCCCTGGGACCTCTTTACCACTGCCAGGCCCTTCCTTGTGTGGGGAGCTGGCACCACGGAGAAGGGACCCAGCCACATGGGTCCCAGTAGGAGCTCTGAGCTGCTTACTTCTCCCCTCTCCCGCGGCTTCCTGAGCTGTCCTGACATGCCCAGCATCTCATGTGACAACCCACTCACTCCTGGCCCCTGGCACTTGACGCCGCTTCTTGGGCTCTCCTGGACCTGGGACCGTGCATCTCAGCGGAGGGATTCCTCTCTCCTCCCTGGTGCCCTCCCAGGACCCTTGTCCCTGGGCAGGAAGTTCTTTGTAGCCCAGCCGATCAGCTCTGCATCTCAACTGGATTTAGGGTTGATCTGTTCTCACTCTGGCGTCTGCTAACCACCTCTCGCTGTCCTCTTTCCCACCCGATCACCTCACCAGCCCCTTCCTATCCCCCGGACCTCTCCCAATCCCTCCCTCTTGCTTCACGGCCCTCCCCTGCTGAAAGGAGCATCTGTATTCCAGGCCTGAGCCCATCCTTCTGCTGATGCCCCTCAGCCCACCTCTTCCCCAGGGACTGAGCACCCGATTTGGGGTTGACCTTCCGAGTGCCATCCCCACACGCTCGGCCCTTGACCAATGGCCCTGGGTTCGGAGCTCTTAGCTCTCCTCTTCGGACACCTGGCCTTCGCCTGACCCCACGGGCAGGCCTGGGCACCAGCCCTGGCCGACCCTGGCCGGCCTTGTCCCCCTGCCACCCAAGCCTGGGTTATGACATCTTTCCAGTGAGCGGCTCTGATTTGAGAAGGCACCCACGGGCATGTGCACACATTAGTGTGCGCGCTCGTACCCCCACCTCGTCCCGACACCTCACCCGCTGGCCGTGTTTATTTTCCTTCCTCTAATTTCCCCTTTAGAACAAACACCAGTCTTGTTACACGGACCCCCCCTCCCCCCCGCCAGCAGGTCTCTAGCCTCCCCACCCGCGCCCTGTCCTCCCTCACAGCTGTGAATGAGAACAGAGTGAGTCTTTTAGCAGGAGGCAGGGGCCTGAATGAATTGATCACAGCCTCCCAGCCAGCAGGGGAGGGGTTGTGAGCCTGGGCCTTTGCTTCTTAGAAACTCTTTGCACATCCGAAGCTCATATATTTCCATGTGCCTCAGAGCAAACGCCTCCCACCTCACCCTCCTCCTTTCGAATTTTATTTTAATTCATTTTTGGTCCCATGTATTTTGTTTTCTGTTTTCTACAAGGGAGCCTGAATCAGGGCCTCAGAAAAACAAGACTGAGCTGCCAACTGGAAATGTTTGCTCTGGGGGCGAGTTCGGAGGCTGGCGTCAGGCGGGGCAAGATCCGTGCCAGTGGAATGTGATTTGGGGGGGAAGCTGCAGGTCACTCAATCGCTGGCAGCCCGCCCAGGAGCAACTGGATGCTTTCTGGGCTGTGTGTGTGTGTGTGTGTGTGTGTGTAGACTTTTTTCCCTCATGCAAACAGAGCCCTGGAGATGTGGAGACAGAAGCATTAGGAAGAAACTAGACAGGGGGTTGGAAAATCAGGGAACAGGGGAGATTAGGTGGGTGGGGGTGGGAGGCTGGTGCCAGGATCTGCACAGCTACTTTATCTAGCACCCATTGTGTTCCCGGCCGGAGCTGGGGGCCCTCAGGAGCGAGGGGAGATATAGACCACCCCTGCTCCTAGTGACTCATAGGCTCCTTGGGGGGAAACAAGGCTCCCAGTTCAGAACACAGCCAGGCCAGTCTGGAAGTTCCCCAGAGCAGGCTGCATGATTGACTGAAGGTATTCAGGGAAGGCTTCCTGGAGGAGGTTTGGTAGGGTCCAAGCCCTGAAGCATGAAGTAGTGCTTTGAAAGGAAAGGAGAGGCGTTCAAGATATTGTTCATGCCAAGCCCTTTACATTGACAATCCCCTTCAGTCCTCCCAGCAACCCTATGAGGGTCACTGATCTTTCCATCTGACTTTGCAAACAAGGAAACTAAGGCCCAGAATAATGAGGGAACTTTGCCAAGCTCCCAGCTCATAAGTGGGAAGCCAGCATTCAACTAACAGCTGTCCCACAGTAAAGTCTCACTTCTCCCCACCACACTGAGGGTCCTTTTCCATTTAGCCAAGTTCCCCAGGTAAGGGCCAATCTTTGTCTTTTTATTCTTTCTATCTATCTATCTATCTATCTATCTATCTATCTATCTATCTATATCTATCTATCTATCTATCTATCATCTATCTATCATCTATCTATCTATATCTATCTATCTCTGGAAAGAAAACTGTTAAATTCAAAGTGGGGATCTAAGATGCCAAGGTAGATTTCCCAGAGGCAATGTGACAAGTCCTTAGAGATCAGAGAGAATCCTGCCTGGCTTCACCATTCCCAGGAGGTGGCAGCTGGGCCCCTTGGCAGTCCTGCCAGGTTCCGTCCCAAGCCAGGCCTTTCCTGCAGCCTGATTCACCTTACCAAAGAGCCTCGTCCCCTCCCACACTCCCCAGCATACTCCCTTCACATGCCAAGTTCTTTCCCACCCCAGGTGTTCACTCTGGGACTGCCCACTTTGGGGGTCCTCGGAAGCTATGTATGGTACTCTGAGTGGTACAGGAAACTCAGGTGAACCAGACAGAATGGATTTCTCCAGTGCAACCAGCATGACCCTAGAGAGTCAGGAGTCAGGAGACTAAGGGCTTCCATGACTTTCCAGAGATATCTAGCAAGTCCTTTCCCTGCTCAGGTCTCCGCTTTCTCAGTTCTATAGTGAGGAGTGGCCTGGATGGACTCTGAGCTGCCACACACTGAAGGCAAGAATCTAAGAATGCAGAGTTGATATGCAGGTGTGGGATGGGAGGTGAGAGGAGCTTGTCTAAGGGGGCCAGCCCACTGCAGAGAGATTCTCTGGCAGAGGTAGCAGGGCCCAACACGGTCTCAGGAGGCAAGAAGGAAATAAGCCAGGCTCGGTAGGACAGAAGACAGAGTGAGGGAGGTGGAATCATGCTCAGGATGGTTTGACCCAAGCTTGTGGGGGAGAGATCAGATGGACAGTAATCTGTCTGATTAGGTTGACTCCAATAGCCACTTGGGGACTTTATTGGCCTGAGGTCAAATAGTTGGTTAGTCTCCCCCACTGGTTCTTTTTACCTAACTGACCACTAGTATTAGTAAGCACTGGCTTGGGGTCACCTGGGCCTGCCAGATCACCTACGTTGGTTGAACAGACTCATCAATTCCACAAGACAACTGATTTTATCAATTGTTTCCAGGAAACAGGTAATTGACTGAATTTCACCAAACCCAATGATTGTTCTGGCTTTTCAGAGACAGTCTTTATATCTTGTATCTTTGATCCTCAGCCACATTTAGGCTACCTGCTACTTAGCAACAACAGCCAGACCCCTGAGAAGGCTGGGGTGGGGGGGACTATAAACAATAAGCTTTGGGACTCAGTCTCTCCAACCATAAAATGGGAAGGTTGGACTAGATCAGGAGTGGCAAACACATGGCATGAATACTACCACTCTTCCTCTTTCATCCACGGCAGACATTGCTAATCAATTACAGGACTCATTCCCATGGGACCCAGATGCAGCCTCAGACTCCTTTTCAACACAGGGCTTTGGGCAGCCCCTACCAATCAATCAGATTTGGCATGCACGATAAAAAGCATTTGTCCTCTGGGCACTAGATGATCTCCAAGCCTCCCTCCAGCTGTGCTGATCTAGGATTGCAACTGATTAGGTATCTGAGGGCTCAGCCTGGAGACCACCAGTTCGACAGCTGTCCCTGGGGCTTCCCAGGTCTGTGGAGCTGCCCTTGAGCTGCGCCATGGCTGAGCTGGTGCCTTATTAATTTTCCTCACTGCTAATAAATGTGCATTGCGTCAGCTCCGCTCTGCCCCCTCATGTTCTCCGGCTGCCGCCAGCCACGGGGACTTTTTCAGAGAGCTGTAAAAATAGTTTTTTTTAAGGAGCTTGCACAGAAGCAGCCAAGCCTTTTTTGTTTCCTTTCTTTTCTGAGGGAATGGGGGAGATGGGTAGAGAACACTTCACAATGAAGGAATGTGCTCCTTGGGGAATTTAAAGTTGTTTTCCTTTTTTTTTTTTAAAAAGGAGTTATCACACTCTGGTTTCACATCTAGCCACAGAGCATGTCTGTGAGGATTGGTAACCGCTCCCAGGAGATCACCGGCTTAAGCCAGGTCTTGTTAGGCTGTTGACAACTTGGTGCTGATGAGCGGAGCCCTAATGAACCGCTTGCTTGCTCCCCGCCTGCCCCTGCCTGCTGACCCAGCTTTGGTGTTCCAGGGAGCTTGATGGCTCATGAGACAGCTTTTCTTGTCTGCGATGGAGGCTAGGCATGCAAGAGAACCCTCTTTCCAATGAGTGAATTTTTTCCATTTCCCCACTGGTGCTCTGGGTTTTGAAGAGGCTTATGTCCAATGCTAAGATGCTAGGGATGGGGAG